ACCTGTAGACTACTGGCAGTTTCCACTGAATAACAGAATTATTTACATGTTACTGAAATCTTTGCAAAGAATAAAAGATTAAGTGACTTGTAGCATGGTCCTGCAAGAAAGCAAGGATGCATATTCCATAGTGGCACCTGGACACAACAAAATATGGTATAGTGCCCATGCACTCTCTCTCTCTCCTCTCTTGTGGCTCTGATGAGGAAAGGAAGCAGCATTTGCTTCTACTTCACTTAACTTCAGATTGTCATTATGTCTGAACTAGGACAAAGTGTGGTCTGGTATTATTATTGTGTGTCTAATCCAACTTTAAACCAGTGTGCAATCTTTGTTTGCCAAACCAAACAAACACAGTTTATCCCAGTTTAAACATAACAACAAACTCTGCCTAGGTGAAAACTGAAACAAGCAACTGTTTCTGGTCTCCTTGCAGCAGGAGAAAGAGAATGGAACAGGTTTGTGTTTGTAACACTGAGTTTCTTCTAAGCTGAACTGTCCCTGCTGTCATAGCTGTTCCTCAGCCTCCTGATCATTTTTGCTGCCCTTCTCTGCACTTTTTCCAACTCAATAATGTCCTTTTTCAGGTAAGGTGCCCAGAACTGAACATATTATTCCAAGTGTGATTGCACCAAAGATTTGTATAAGAGAAGTAAGATTTTGGCAATTCTGTTTCCTATTCTATTCCTGATTATGCCTAGCATGGAGCTTGCTTTGTCCACAGCAGCTGAGCACTACGCCAACATTTTCATCAAGCAGTCCACCACTACTCCAAGATCCCTTTCTTGCTCAGTCACTGCTAATCCACAAGCTATGAAGTGTATACATGAAGTTGTTTTGTTTTTGTTTTTGCCCCAACATGCATTACTTCTGTTAATTTCTATGGAGGTACACTATACTTTTACATATTAGCAAGTAATGCTTCATACTGCATAGAGCTGTTGAATTTTAATATAAGCAAACCTTCACTGAAGTAACTTAAATAGTACACTAACGCAGGACTTGTTTATATGTCATATTTCAAGAGGTCAACCTACAGAAGATAGAATATACCAAAATAATACTACGAATAAATGGTATCCAGATCAGTGGTATCCAATCATACCATACTTCATTAATAATATTAGTATATTATTGTGAAAAACAACCGTTTCTCTCCTATAATAACACCAATAGCTCAATAGATTTCACCTTCAAAGTTACTGCAAGTACAGGTAGAAAATTGACTTGGCTACATTAAAACACACATGGTACAATGATGGAGGATCTGGCACAAAGACAGATTGACTAAACACAGAGAGGCCACATTCAACTCTTATGAGAAGCACCCACATAGCCTGCTCTTGGCAAGCAAAAAGGGCAAAATTATGGGTGTTTTAAACAAGAAAACTTTAGAGCCTGATCAAAGCCACATACAATTTCTAAAAAAATGTGATGATTGAAGGCCTCTTCTGATTTTTAAATGTGAAGGCCTCTTCTGATTTTTAAACACAATTTTACTCAAAGGAATGACAGTGATTAAAGAAAATAGGCCTCTCTCCTCCTATGCCTTCTCCCTTCCTGTATCCCAAATGCCAGTAGAACTGAAATGTAGAGCAGCTTTTTGTTTTTGTTTTAAAGTATTGTTGTCCATTGGCTATGTAGCCCGATAAAACAATGCATTAAGAACAAATGGCTTACATATAATGATAAACCATGGTTTAAACAACCTAGAGTTCACAACCAAGCAACAAACCATGGGTTCTTTTTTCTGTTATTTCTAGTTAAAAAACCATACTCACACACTAATTTTGGAATTACTGGTAGAAATTCTCCCATTTAAGGCAGAAAGCACAATCTATGAAAGAACCCTCCCACTGAAGAACAAAAACAGAGGACATTTGTTCATTATTAGAAAATGCTGGCAAATAAGGGGTCTCCAACATGACAAATTTAATTTCCACAAAGCATTTTACTTTTGCTAATATAGTTGGGATTTTTAAATCACAATTGGTTAAGTAGCTATATAATACTCTAAACTTATAAACATTCAATCTTCAGGCAGGAAGCCCTCTTGGGCCCTCTATTTGATTACATACTGAACAATAAATATAAGTTCAAGCAACTCCACAGATTGTCAACTGAAGAAAAATAGCATTTTATCGCTTTATGTAACCAAGAAATCTATCCAAAATATTTCAAACCAAAATGTCCTATTAAAAATGAGTGAAGGGATATTAAGAAAGGTGATATTTCTACCATAACAAATTCACAAGAGGAATGATAAGATTCCCAGGAAGCAAGGCAGAGCTCTTAATAGGCTATTATGCTCTACATCTGCTCAGCTGTTCCTCAAATTCAGTCTGTATAGACACCAGCTTATATGGCAAAACAGTTGAAGAATGGTGCCAAGGTCTCAGGCTGTTTATGATTGTTCTCTGTGGGGAAGGATGTCAAACTACATTGCAATGAAATTTAAACAGCCATCAAATCACCATGGCTTCTTCACAAATGCTTTTCCTTCTTCTTATTACTAGGCGCCTTTACAACAACAATGTAACTGACAATTACATCTGTCCATCAGATACATCACATTCATTTCATTTTCATCACAACAGCCACAGAGTCTACCATATGCATTTTTACTCACATTTGGCAGTAGTCACTCAAAATTGGCAGCACTCACCCACCTACCCGCATTCTCTATGCCTCTTTTCCTAATTATATCAGCAACTCCCATAACTGTACCAGTATAACATCATAATTTCTAATCATCCAAGCTTACTGATAGGCCCACATCTTCCAGTGATAAGGAACTGGGAAATGCAACACTTACGTGCAAGTACTAGAAAGAGGACTAGTAAGAGGGAAATCTATCCCTCTTTACCTGCCATGCAACCACCATTTAACATTTGTTTATGTCAGTACAGTACTGAAACAAACTAATAAACTGTTAATAACAAAAAGTCAGATCATTTAATAAAACAGTCATTAAAACCTTATCATCTGGGAATATAAAAGTCCTAGCATATAGTAAGTAACTCCGGATTATGACCTAGGACATTTAGTTAAGACATGGACTCCTAAGAGACTTCATCCATTATCCTCACTCAGTTGCTCATTTAGAAAATCATCAGCAACAAACATAACTATCAGTGTTAGTAATCAAACAAATTACAACTGCCCCATATAGGATTATAACTAAACAAAAATAGCAAACTTATTTGTGCTTGTTTAATAGCACACTTGAAGAGTCACAATGTCTGTAACATCTTAATTTAAAAACACAGACATATATATGCCATTGTATATAACACTGAAAGGAACTATCTCAAAACGCATGTCAACAGAGACTTTATGATGTATTTCTGGAAGAGCTTTTACAACTACACACATCTTTTAATCGTTAACAGAAAGGTCTCTATATTTAGTTTGCTATTAGCATTGTTTGCTAGACTGTATCACCAGTAAATAATTGGGAACATAAACTGAAACACAACTCAGGTTGCACAATAATGCAAATTAGTTATTCCTTAATACACTTTAGATGGGTTCATTCCACTGGGGATGCCTATAAGTCAATTGTAAGAATTATGGGCCTCCTGCACAGTGTAAGATGAATACAGCTGCAGCAAGCTGAAGGAGGAAAGGAGACTGTAGCACCACCAAGGTACATTGTGTACTGGTGAACCCAGTCTCTTCCCCTCTCTGCTAATCCTTTGGCCTTTCTCCAAGGCTGCTCTTACAACTTCAGAGAAGGAGCCAGCACCTTCTGTGCCAGCTCCAAACACAAATATCCAGCTCCATGTTGGAGCTCTTTTCCAACCCAGGGAATCCAAAGCATCCCACATTCCTGCAAGTATTGCTGAGGGCCTTAGGGTCATTCTGTTAGCCACGCATTCATGAAACGAAATGAAGAGTGGCAAAAGAACACCCACCCCCATCCTTTCAATGTATGTTTTTAGGTGTATATAAGGTTCTAAAATGAATGCTGGGTGAAGAACAATTGCATGAAAAGTGTTCCATTTAATTAATAAGAAATGAAAGACAATTTTGCATGTGTTCTTTTAGCATTTATATGTGCATAACACAGAGACTCATTTAATTAAAATGCCTCTTAACACAGTTTAATCACCATTTTATACCAACAATCATAGTGACTGCACATGTTAGAAAAAGGTAAGATTTATGCACTCGACATACATGCTTATGAAGAAGGTAGCAGGTGAGACCATGTCTCATGAGCGGAGCCGGCTGGAGCTGGGGGTCAGACTAGATGGCCTGGGAGACCCCTTCTGACTCGCTCTGTTTCTATGTCCCATAGATGTCATCAATGTCTAATGCAGTCCTGCTGGTTACCACACTTACAAGTCTTATCTTCACTATTAGAAATGATAATCTTACCCATTGCATTACCGGATCTAGAGCTGAGCCTACTGAAATAGTCAGCTAGGTTTCCAGTCTTTCAGCTTCTGTGGTTTTAAATCTGTTAGTGTACTTGAAATCTTTGCACTGATGCTAGGTTTTATTCAGTTATTTCTGTTTTATACTCTAGTTTTACACTTTTAACTGTATTTTATCCTGTTGTACTATATGTACTTCAATGTGAACTATTCAGAGCTCTGTCTATTGGTCATTACCATTACCAAAATCTAATAAATATGTTCCCTTTACTTAATGCACTGAAATTAAATAAAATAAACCTTTACCACTCATGAATGAGGAGTTTGGGTTGTTTCTGTTGTTTTAACTGTCATTAGGATTAGGGACTTCAATTTAATGTATCATTGAATCCACTGAATCAAAACATCTAGCTAGCTAGTATTTTGTCTTTGGGTGCAAGTTCTTATTTTTAACTACTAGAACAATTTTCTAGACCTATGAACATAAAAATATAGTCATTGTGACATTGGGAATAAAGCTTCAAAAACATACTAGTATGATCATGGAAGTTTAAAAGTGGAACAAAACCCCCAAGTAGTACAAGTTTGTACATCAAAGTAAAATTCAGCAAACCTTACTTCTGGTAGAGGACTGGCCGGTTTGGTAAGAATTCCTCCCACGTAAACAACATTTGGTAGTGTGGGTCTTGGAAACTCTAGTGCTACATCAGTACACAGCATCCACAGGCTGGTTTCATGAACCAATTCAAACATGGACCTTGCTGGCTGTACATTGTACTTCTGCATTATCCTTTCATATTTTGGCAGAACCAAATAGTTGACTCCAAATCTTGAAATCAGATAAACAATAGTGTTCTTAAGCCTCTCTATCAAGTTCATATGATCTGTGAGAAGTGAATTAAATTCTGGAACATATGCTAAAGGTGCTGGAGCACCTACTTCTGCTGGATACCAAAGACCAGTGGAAAAAACAGCATATTTAATCCCTAAAAGATGAGCAATAACAAATCCACACATCTCATTTGGATCCACTAGCAGCAGGTCAAATTTTTCCTGTTTCAGGGTATGCAAGAGCTTCTTGTTGCCCACAATCATGTCACAGTTCTTAGAATAGTGATCCAGAATGTCAAACAGTTCCAGGGCTGTAAGTCTCCCAGAAAAGATACTCCTCATTTTGGATTGAAGAAATTCATCTGAGGTGGTGGTATTAAAGATCCCTGGGTAACGCTGCAGTCTATAGTGCTTAGATGGAGGGATTTCTCTGCCCTCAGACAGGAGAAAAACTGTCTGGTGGCCTTGTTCATGCAAGGCAGAGGCCAAGGTCTTGAAAATATACAGATGGCTCTCAAACATAATTGGCGGCACAATAACGATTTTGGCAGCCCTTGAAATTCCAACAGCACTCCACAGAAGAATGAAAAATGGAATGTAAGACTTCATAGCTGAAATGATAAACAAAAACATTATTTCAAATGATCCTAAATGTTATTAAAATACAAAAAATCCTACCAAATAACAATGTGAAGTGCTTGACATTTTAAACTCTGCCCTTGTGTTGCCCATGGTGCTTATAATGGCAATCCAAGAAACTAGAACCTGCTTAGCTCTAATACACAGGCAATGTAGAACACCTCTTCCCTTCTTTCAGTCCCTTCATGACCACAGGAGAGCACTTGAAAACAGCAAGGATTTTCCTGGCTTCTAGTACTCTAGTACATAGACACAGTGCTGTATGTACAAAAGCAAAATCAATAAAAACAGAATTTCAAGGAAAGTCTTAGCTAAACTTGTATGCTTGCTATTAAAAAAAAAAGTTTGTTCCTACCTTAAGGAACTTTTGAATATAAAGGTTCAGATGTATTATGGGAAAGCATAGATGTACTAAGTTGCCTGATTTTGCTTAAACTATAACCAGGTTTTGTCTAGAGCTGCTAACTTTTCAATGAACCATTGTAGCTATGTCTTTAACATCTAGGCATGCAAACAGCAGTAGATGATTATGTTCACCTTCACTGTGTGAAAAGCTTTGTCTGCTCCAAAGTGCAACAGGAAGGATGGTAGAACTGAATGGGCAACCCTTCCCCATCCTGCTGCCTCTGAAACAGTAGGTGGAGGGAACGTAATCCACTCAGTAGTACCAGCTCAAACACAGGTCACTGCTGCTCAGCCGATCATCAGTTCCTGCCTGCTGCTGAAGGGAACTATCCTTAGGCAGATGGTGGAGGGTGCCTGATATCCTCAACAGCAAACCACTGCATTTTGTTGTACCATCCTAACCAGGCCTTGTTTTCACATTGCAGAGATCTACGCTACACTTTCCATTTAGTTATGGCTATACCAAATCCATTCACTCAGGACTTAGAGTAACAAGCTCTGGAAACTGCAGTCCCAATATCGAATTATCAGAGAAGACACTCTATCTTAATATTATTAAAATAAGTAATCACAGTATTTACAATAGAACAGTGGTCAATTGCTGGGTCAAAACATTCTAAGAAGTCAAACAGTATGTTAAAATGTTGACTGGTTAGTATTTTGCAACATAACTATCCCATACATATTAACTTGGAAGGAATTCCCACTATGTTGGTGAGACTGATGCTGCTGCTAGAGTGTTTACAATTACAACCTAAATTTTTATGATAGCTAGTGTTCCTTTTCTATTAGATGGGAGTGTCTTGTACTGACCAATTACCTTGTATTCTTTTCTCTTACTGAACTTTTACTGACTTTGGCCATCATACTGTCAAATCAAATGGCTTCATGAAGTCACCAGTTCATGTTCTGCAGTGTATAGGTGAACATTCTTACAAGACCAATTTCCTAATATTCCTTTGACACTGAAAACTGCAGATCACATAGCACAACGTAGGCATGTCACAATTCTGAATTGCTGTATTCCTTATTGCTTTAAGGTGCTCTAAGTAAAAATGCATGGAATAGACTGTTACTGAAAGAGAAGTCAATAGAAATGAGTTTTGCTCACAAATATCAAAAGAGTGTATTGCCTGAACTTTGAATTCATTTGATTTGACTGGTTTGAGATGCCAACAGAAATATAATTATGAAGTTGTGTATAATTATGTAATTGGGTATATTGTATGATGCTTTGTGTTTTATTTTGTGTAAAATAAAATTGTTATAGGGAGTATTTAAAACAAAATATAATCTCTTGCTGTTATGATGTATTATGGTATTATGCTTTTAATATGTATACATTATTCTGTAGTGTTCTGTTAAATTAAGCATACCATCCCAAACCACTGCATTTTGAGAAGTGGCAAAAAAAACCTTATTCCTCAAAAAAATAAAAATACTCGGAGGAGGGCTTTCTCAGCGGTGGCGCCTAAGTTATGGAATGCGCTCCCCAGAGAGGTCCGCCTGGCGCCG